GAAGTTTTGTTTTGTTTTGTCACACCCGCCATATAGCCCTGACCTTGCGCCTTCGGATTACCATTTGTTTCGTTCCATGCAAAACTCTTTAAATGGTAAAATTTGTAACAACGCGGATGATGTCGGATCACACCTAATTCAGTTTTTTAATAGCAAACACCAGACATTTTACGAACGGGGAATTTTTACTCTGCCAGAACGATAGAAAAAGGTCATCGACAAGAACGGCCAATATCTAATTGAATAAAGTTATATTTTTAAACAAAAATTCCGAATTTGCCTTCTTACTTGAAATTGGCAATGACTTAGCTGCCAACCTAATATATTATGTTTATTTATTTGTATCAAATTGCAGGCGTTTTGTTAGTTATCATTAGCCCTTTAGTTGACTGCAGGCTTCACAGAGGGGAAGGGGCATCAAAGTGAAAGATGTAAAAGAGATAGACACAAAGTTAGAAAAAAAGTTGAGGTGAGTACTATGGAAGTAGTCGAATATGACATACAGTGGGGTGATGGTAATTTGAAGTCAGAAGTCAATTACCGATTGATAGACATTTTTGCCGTATGAGTATACGTTGCCCAGGGTGCACCACGTGGAGGTAAGTCTATCGCGCACTCTGCTTATTATATATTATCTGCAGAAATGTTTTGAACTATTCTTAGTAATTTGAAACCCATTTATCAGAAACCGATTAATTTTTCGTTTACTTCAGCGCAATAAATAATGTGGATTGCGACCTTCCAGATCTGGTTCAAAGCTTTTGTGTCGCTAATGCAGGTGTCAGCGAATGCTTGACTGTGGAACAGACCCGAGTTGTTCTAATTGCCCTTTCAGCCCAAGTTGACCAGATTTTCGATATTGCCGCCGAGGTGCTATCCCTTCCAGCGCTGTTGGAGTTCATTTACTACATTCTCCAAGCCAGTGGTGCAGAACTAGCAGCTAGAGCACGCCCACGTACCCCGTCATCACCGAAATCAAAACAGCCAGGCAATTTGAAACAAGCGGTTACAAATGTCAAGGACGAAATCTTCAAAGTTGCGAGGAGGCAATTTTCAACTTTCAGTGGAGTTAAGAAATTTAGTGATGAGAAAAGAAAGGCAACTGAATCCCAAGGTGATAGCATGTTTCTTGATAGGTAAGTAACCGATCTAATTTCTTATTGAATTTGGCAAAAATCAAATCATTATTTTTCATTGCAGATTATCACATCTTCTGCTAAGAGTTATTCGATCACCTAAACGACCACTGCTTCATCTTCTTCGAGCTTGGACTTTGGTATCTCAGCACCTTGTTGATGCCTGCTGCTTCTCCTTCATGTGTAAACCCCCAACATTCATTGAAGCAGACGTTGAAAAGCTTCTTATTAGTCAGAGAGCTCTGTCTTGTTTGCATGAATGTACTGTTAATACCATAACCACACGACTTGAGTTGCCCTACTTTTGTGCCAATGAAATGTTCTGCAAGCCGTTTGAAATCCTTCTTCGATTAGGTTGGTGAATTCAGTGATTAACAGCCTCGTTTGTTTTTCTTTTAGTTGAAATCGAATTGTAGGTCTTCATAAGGTGATTTTAACTAAATCAATCCAAACTGAGTGCTTTTTTTCTAATCTGATAGTCTCCCAATATTTATTTATTTTATATAGCAGGCATTTCGATAGTTTTCATTAGCCCTTTGACTGACTTCTGGTTTCACAGAGGGGCAGAAACCTCATATTCAGAAAAGTTCGAGAAGGGGAACGGAAGAGTGATTCACGGATGTAAAAGAGGCAGACAGATAGACAGACACAAAGATGGGGAAAAGGTAAGATGATTACTGTGGAAGCTGTCGAATGTGACATACAATCAGGTCATGGTAGTTAGAAGTCTGAAGTCAACTTGCGGTTTATAGATTTTTTGCCGTATGAATATACGTTGCCCAGGGTGTACCACGTGGAGGTAAGTCTATCGCACAACCCTGAATGTAGAACATAGATTATCTCACAGGGCCGTATAAGATAAACCTTGAAATATGAGCCTTGAAAGTGTGGTTATGATATATTTGAAAGCTGATCTAATATGCGTGCATAAGAAGCGCGTAATAGCGAAATTGCCATGCAAGTAAATTTATCAACTTTTATGCTGCCAAGTGGAGGCTTGTAAGGAATAAGTTGGTTCAGGACTGGTCTACAAAATGAAGGCAAAACGGTTCCACGAATATGTATTTTTATTTTGTCCTAAACGTTACAAACAAAAAACAAAGACCGGAAAGGAATGCAATTATACACAAAACGGCAATCAAAAAAAGCGTGGGCAGCACTCTCTTTCTTTATTAATGCACTGGAAGTTAAAGGTGGGTATTTTATTAGGCCAACGCATATCCTTTGTTACCATCTTTAAATGAGCGAATTAATTGTCTTGTACATAGTAAAATGGAATCCCTATTCTGAGGAGGTAAGACTCATTCGAATCGGTCCCACTATTTGTCTCTTCACTTTATCGATTGACGTTTTAAGTTCGCCTCCAATAGTCACAAATTGAAAAGAACTTTGTATATCGTTAAAGGGCAATAAAGATCAACAAACGGCTTGATCTTTTAAATGCATAGTCTTCTGCAACATTCTTCAACTTGTTTTCTTGAAAAAAACGCAATGCCATGCTAGTTTCTTTATATGTTAAATGCAATAATAAAAATAATTATTATTGATTAATTAAATAACATTTTAATTTCATTCATATGGAGGTAATGCTAATGATTGTCCATTTTCCGTTTTTCTTTCCCGCGCATAATTAGTGAATTATCTGTACAAACGAATAAATTGCTCTTCCATTGTTTACCACTTTATCACTGGGGCTCTTATTGATTTAAATTAAAAATGGGAAAAGAGTGTTTAAAATTATCATGTGCAAGAAGTCCTAACATTACCACACCTACAAACATGATCAGCCTAAAACGTAAAAAAACCAACCATTATTCATTTTTTAAAATAAAAAAATTAAGTACAAAATTTTGAACCCTGTTTCACTTAAAAATCACTGCATCTTGAATGAATTTTTAATCAAACAACATTTTCATAACTGAAAAAGGCGCATTACTTTTCCCTCCAAATAAAAAAATACTTATTACTTAGGCTTTAAAATAAAAAATGATCAATGGATCGAATGATTAACATCGAATTTCGCTGGCTGCTCAATGTCAGATGTAAAGTACGTGCTATAAATAATGCTATGGCCATTATTGTATGTTAACAACTGTTTTTTTTGGCAAAATGTTCACTTGACAATTCTCCCTTTAATTTCAAAAATGACAGGAAAACCTTCAGTATCAATCTTGATGCTAAGTAAATTTACTACCGAGAATACATTTTTATTAAGGAAAAATTGATGTAATTACAGAGTTATCATTGTTTAATTGAATTTTACTTGGTGCAAGCTACTATTTTTTAAATAAGCGTTTCCTGAGGTCCAAAGAGCTCTTCATTCATACTAAATCTAATTCTTCAATCAACGATTTTTACATCAGTATTATGTGACCAAAATAATGAAATTAAAAATTGTTTTAAAACAAAAATAGTTTATGTGAATTGACATTTCTAGTGATTTTACTAAGAGTCCTGAAAAAATAGTTTATTGAAAAATAGGCCAAGTTAGAAGACGTCTTATAAAATAGGTCCACTTATTAAGGCACAATATAGCGTTATTAAAATTAATTCGTACCTTTTGGTCTCTTTATTTAATTTAAACAACAATATGGCGCTTCAGCGACAGTTGGAAAATTAATTGAGCCGAAATAAAACTATAGTTTGTTTAGTCACCATATGCTGACACTAGTACAGTCACTGAATTCCAGCCTCCACTTGATCAATAATGATGCATTTTAAGAGATCCCTCCCCTCCCCATCAAACCCCCTCCCCCCCTTCGTTCCTTTAATCCTTCTCCTTCCACACAGCAAAGTGTGACTAATTCTCGACGAGAACCAACATCGAATCATTGGAGAGAATGAGCCGACCAGCCAGCACGCATCTGATTGGCTGGCGCGGATTCACGTTGATATTTGCGCCTTCACATGCCATTGCCGGCTCGTCAGTGCAATAGCCATCTACAGCCAACAACTCGATCTGACTACGGATTTCAAAGCAATCTAACAATTTCAGCATAAGTGACACCACAGGTAAAAACTACACCTCCCTATTTCGCCTTTAAAGCATATGCTAAGTCCGTTTCTCGTTAAGGAATTTGATCGATCAGTTTGCATCTTCCACTTCCAGAGTTATCAGAAATGGCAAAGGTAGCTAGACAGGCAGGTTAGTTTAAAAGACTCTAATAATGCCTTCATTTCACTTTTATATGAATTTACACACACCTTGATTATCATGCAAGATGCCAAGTTAAATGTAAATATAATTGGCGCATAAACAGTGATCTTATAATGTGTTATCAGGTGGTGTGCAATAACCTTATTAGCTTAATCCAAGCAATTGATGTCCGTTGTTTTGCCTCGTCAATAGGCTTATCAGATTTGAAAGGAAATGAAGAAGAATTGCGCAAATCCCTCCCTCATGTGGACCTAGAAACTGGATTAAAAAATCGAGGTACGTTTTTGTTTGAGTGCAACTTTATTATGGTAGAATTCTAGCTTTTAGTAGGAGTACTAAATAAAATTTTGGCAGATTCTTTTTGTTTTTTGCTCTTAGACCAAGGACTTTTTAGAATTAGATCAGTAATTGAGCTTGCTTTCGATTGAATCACATAGCATATTTTTTGTGGTTAGTAGCCCAACACACAATGATAACAAATGATAACAAAAATGTTTCATGTGATAACATATTTATAATTAAATAGTCCGTTAAGGTCTGTCAATGGGGGAAGGGTGGGTGGGAGCAAATAGAAATTCGGATTATCCCTCCCCCCTCCCCAATTCTTTATTAAAACTTCGGAAGTGTAGAGCTACTAATTTTTTCTTTCGTTTCAAATGCCAATTATTATCAGCTGATCACAAAGTTTTCGGTGGAGGTCATACCAACGATATACAGAAAGTTGGATAAGCATCTACTTTAATTAAACGGCTGGTCGAGTTCACCTGCATCTCCCCAAAGCCGTGAGCATTTAAATGAGGCGAAAAGAGGGACATTTTAAAACCAACATTTCACCATATGGACTTTATGCTTATGAAGTTAATTACTAATGCACTTTGTTTAAATTACAATTCTATGTCAACTGAAGTGGTCAAACGGGATCCTATAAGTGGACTTGGTGATCTTCCGAAAGAACATTGCGATTTTGGCAGGCCAAAATTGGCTCATCAGAACAAGAAAAGTAAGCTGAAATTTGATCCTACATTATGCAAATAATTTTTAATTATTTTTTTAAACATTTGATATGTATAATGGGCATGATTTTGATTTACGCTATTAATTTTAATTATAATTTAATTCAATACACTATATTTTGATTTGTAGGTTTTAATAAAACCCTTCTAACATGGGACGCGGACACAGCTGTTCCTCTTGCCAAATCAAGTAAAAATTCAACCAAAAGTGTGGAGAGCATTCTCTGTGAGAGACTTTTTTGTTAATATCTTTTTGTGTAACTTGAAGGCGAATGTTAGCTAACTAACGTACATTTTGAATATTTAATTGAAGCAAGATTTCAAACTTTTGTTAATTTGGCTCACTTTAGATGCAAGTAATTAAATAATCATAATTTTATTGATTTTAGTAAAATTATGCCTTTTTTATTTCAGCGCGTAATCCAATTGCTCTAACTGGGAACTTGGGAAATGAGGTCGATGCTCTAAGATGTACCTCACGACCTCGCAAACAAACATCGCGTGGTCGTAAGTCCTTTTCAACTATTGATTTCTTCATTTGCGGCCATGAGATTCGATGTTGCGCGTATTATTTTAGGAATATCATGAATGGATATGGGTGAAAAAGCAAATATTGTAGTATATTGGTAATATACAGAAATCGAATTACTTGAACCAATTATAAAATCCTCAGTTAATCTCTAAAATGCGATTAGACTTTCGTTCAATAGTCTTGATAGTACTTTTATGATCCATATCCGAATCCACTCCAAATGTGCTCATTTGTGTACCTCAATCGGTCGTCATCTCACATATGACCTCAAATGACCAGGAGGAGGGGGGGGATAAGACATTTCCAGACTTATAAAAGACCGGCAGACATATTTCCCATCACCGTGGCTATAGTCAAAATATTGTAAAGTGCACTTATCTAATTGAAATACTTTTATTAAGTGGAATTCGGAGAACAAATTGAGGTAAGGACATGCATGCTTCATGCGTAAGTTGACGATTCTCTAATGTTGGTCTTTGCGGTTATTAATATTTATCAAATTTAGTTAGAGGTTAAGTTATATTTAGAAGACAAATAATTGTTAATTTATTGCCGGCCCCAAAAGTCTAATCACCTAAGATCAACAGTAGTCTAATCAAACATTTGAATGGTAAAATTTTTTGAACTCCTAAACGTACAAGACACGTAGTCCGCTTCCAGACCACTTTCCAGACATTGGGAGATAGACGGTCACTGCTTCAACGAAAATGGTGACACAGAGTGCATGGTAATTACTTCGAACTAATAATGATAGTGTTCACTTGACTAATATCTAGATATTACCATCAGATTTGCATTAAAGGAAATCACTTTAATGACATAGAACATAATAAAATAGACATAATTTAACAAAGGCTTTTAATCCTAAGTAAATAAACTTTAATTATTACGAATATGCTAGACTTATTACTTTTTGCCGTCATTACCGATTTTAGCCAAACGAGATCCCATTGCAGGAAGGGGCGATTTCGGTGAACGTGAATGGGATCCAATTTGGAAATACAACGGTCGAATAGCGCGAGCTCGAAGTTCAACAGGTATGAACAATATCTCCCTTCCTCTAAATTGAATATATATATATATATATATGTATATTCAAGCAACTGTAGAAATAATGTCACTTTTTTACTTTCTTTTTTAAATAAACAAATTTATGATTAATGCTTAACTTGCGCTGTCTGCGCTTGCAGGCATTCGGTGCAATCCCCTCACCGGAGAAAATGCCAAATCATTTGATATCAGCACGGAGGAGAAACGTCGCTGCAGTCTAACTCCAAAGACTCCTAGAGCCTGTAAGTTGGCTTTAATTTACTCGAAATTTATGTCTCTTTCTAATTTGTGAAAGAGGATAAACACAATTGGGTCTAAAATGGATTAGTGGAAGAGTTAATATTGACAAAAACTCTATGCTGGTCTGCAAATTTCATAAAACAAAAGGACTGGAAGTTCCAAAATGTATGTAAGGCAAGAGGAAACAGTAATCAATAATTAGTTCATTATTGGCATTTTCGAAAAGATTCAGGGGGGTGATGCTGGTATCTGAAACATTACTATTGGTCAATTTGTACTTTCGTCAAGTTGATGGTTAAGAGTTCTTTGTTCAACCCTGTATACTCGGTGGAGTAATTACTTAACCACACTGACTACTACTGGTCAAAAAAGAAAGATTGATGCTTGCTTGGTTCCTATAAGAGAATTTCGAAGGTTATTGATCCTTCCCCTAATGAGTATTGAAAGTTAACCGATATGCTTAAAAATAGTCAATTAAATAGTAACCCATCTAATTTATTCAACAAGAAAAGACAAAAAATTAAGGAAAGTGCTGTAGATTAAAATTACATGCAAGAGGAATTAATATGAAATTAGCGAAATAGAGAAAATGTTTCCCTTACGGTCTGTTCATCCATTACCTATACCAATTTCGACTCTGATAAAATTCACTAATTTATAACCAGAGTAGGCAAAATCCACATTTCTTTTGTGCATAACTTCGCCTTGTAAATCCCCTCTTTAAAGCAGTTTTATTTTTATTATAGAGAACTTAAGTATAGAAACCCACTTTGGCATGATTTGAAATATATTGATATTAGCAGATTGCTCTGATAAAATTCAGCCCACCATTAAAGACTGAAATTAGGATATTCAAGTTATAACTTTCGACCTGTCCAGCAATATCTTATCCCAAATCTTTAACTGAATGCAAGCCCTTTTTCCTGAAAATGCCTTATCCAGTTATAGCTCATTACTGAGCTTCATTGGGAAGGTACCACTTTCATTCACCTAGAGCTATTGGCGCTTGAAATGAATAAAAACCTTCAGATTACATCAACCTCTTTGTTCTAAAACTGTAATGGCAACGATTATGCTCCTTTTCATTCGTTTGCATCGGTGCATTGACTAGAAGTAAAGTTCAGATCAGCTATATGAGATAATAAGGATTTTTTCCAATAATTAGCTCCTATTAATGGTTTACCTGCTATTATCTTGGTTAAATTAGCCTTCAGATGTGCATAGCCGTTTATTTTTTTGCCTCGAATATTAGTGTGGAATGCTATTACGTAATTGTGCGCCGTCAGTTCATGCGAAGTTATTGCACCCTCAAATCACAAGACCACAACCGAATTCTAATGCTGCGACCTTTAAGATGCGCCTTTATTCTTCGTCTTCTTTTTTTGCAGCTCGTAACGTTATTACTGGAGAAAATTGCGCAGATTTCGATATTTCACAAGAAATGAAACCTGTTGGACCACGCCGAAGGATGGGTATGTTATCAGCGTCCTTGTGGATAACTTTCTCACAAAGTATTCTAGTTGGCAATTAACTGCCTCATAAAGCCCTAACAAATGAAGCAGTCTTAGATAATTAAAGGCCAAATAACTTAATGGTCATTTTATTTGTAGAGACGGGCAAGAATACAGTAACAGGAGAGAATTGTGAAACCTATGATGTTAACGTGGAAACAAAACCCGGTAGATCACGTGTTCGAGCCCGGTCAGAGGGGTTGAAGGGAAACCCACTTACAGGTGAAAATGTGGCCACGTTTACTATTTCAAAAGAGGAGAAGAAGAGGAATATGAAGTCTTATGGTAAGTTGCATTTCATTGGAAAGAAAGAAACTTCTTTCTTCCTGTAAATTTTAACCGTCTGTGGAAAATATTTGCTCTGTTTTATATTTACTTCGATGCAGAATGCATGAAATTAAAACAAAACTTGAGATGCAATCAACATATTTTCCATTTTTTAGTTTATACAAATACCGTAACTGGAGAAAATTGCCTTAGTTATAAGATAACACCAATTGAACGCAATGTGACATCCCGGCCCAATACAGGTATATTTAAATTTCTTATTTAATTAAAACAATAGCAAAAAACAAAAATTATATCATAAATTAACATTTTACTTCAAAGTATTAAAATTATTGTTTAATATTTTTTTACTAAAAGAATGAAATTCGAAACTTTCTAATTGTTTCCAATTCTTCTGTAAACAAGGAAAGAGAAGGTTCAATTTCATTTTTTCTTTATTTTGAAGCTCCGTCGAATCCACTGCTGGGTGAGAACACTCAAAACTACATCTACCGAGTTGGTGAAAAGGAAAAAGCAATAAAAGTACGAGGTATGCCTATCAAATTACATTGAAGCAGATATTTTCAGGTCTTGCGAATAGCTCACTGAATCCATCTGTTTTTTTTGGCTCAACAGTTGAGCAGATTTCTTGTTTGCTCTTTACTTGTAAACTAGTAGTAGTTTCTTCATTTTCCCTCGAATAGATCTTGATTCACCACTGACAGGAGAGGGCTCTCGTGGCTCAACCTACTCGATTTCAGTGGAGGAGAGGCGACGAAAACCCGCCGACTACAGCAAGACGAGGAACGTGCTAACTGGTGATAATTGCAATACCTACCAAATTTGCCAAGAGATGCGAAGTGAACGCAAGAGTTCTGCGCCTCCAACATCAAGAGGTCAGAATTCGATTAAGTTAAAGTCGTAGCATCCACTTCCCACCTAACTCCATAAGACATTTGACTTGAATTAAGTTATGGTAAACAGTCAGTCAGGCCAATAAGCTTGGTTATTTTAAACCATTTCAAGGTTATTTTTGAGTTTTTTTAAATTGTGGTGCCCATTCGTCCGAGTCATTCTTTGATCGCGTCTGGAACTTAACAATAGTTGTTTATTAAATTAAGGATTTTTCATAAATCTTTTAGTAATGAGTAGATCACCCCCCAAATTAATAAATCATATCGGTGTCTTCAACTCTGAAGCCAATTATTACACGAATAAGCCTTAACTTATCCTCTATAGCCTCTATGGGAAAATATCATTGAGTAGAAAGGATCAACCTATTTCTAAGGATAAAATTGACGAAATAAGCAGTAAACCGAATTGGTTTGTTTACGCATGTATACTTTTACTGTGCAAATATTTCCCTTTGCTTTGATAAAAATTGTCATGCGATCTTTATTTCAATCTTGTTAATAAGTAAACAATTGAACACCCTTAAAAGATTGACATAAAAATAACAAGAAAGAATTTTACTACCATTTTAAGAATAATTTCGAAATTTTTCATGGTTGAAATGGAAGCGGCGACCCACAGAATCATTGAACTTCATGTTGCAGGTCGTGATTGGCTGAACGCCTAAATAGAATTATTTATTGAAGTGCCTTGTGAAAAATTGTCCTAGCATAAAATATTATGTTAATTATTTGAAATTGAGAGATTGCAAAAAGCCAATAATTTCTGTTAAAAATTTTACATTTTTCTTTTGTAAGCACAATTAGGAAAAAAAGTTAAAACAGAACGAGTCAAGACAATTTTGTGCCTATTTTTTATTTTGTGAAAAATAATGAAGTAACGGCGTTAAAGGAGCTAGAGTATATGATAGTGAGCGTGTTTTATGAAAAAGGTATTTCAAAATTAGTTTTATTAAAAAAATTTGTCAGTGACTCAGCAGGAACAATTTTTAGAAATATTCACATACAGTTTAGTTTTTAATGCGATTTAAAGCTTAGAGCTGCAGTTGACAGCATGCATTAGTGGAGCAGTAGAAGACAACAGAAATCCGAAATTATTGACATTTTCCTTTCAAATGACGCGTTCATTGAAGACGTCAAACTGTTTTTAAAATTGAATTGAATAATATAATATAAATGGGATAAAAGAGCTGTAAAATCTGAATGGGAGAGATTGTTGCCGATCGTATCTTATGAAAAAAGACCCGATTGAGGAAAAAAGCATTTTATGGGCTACTTGACAAATGTGCTGGTTATAACTCTCGTAAACCAATTTGATAATGAAATGAATCGCGTTTTAAAGTTGGCAGGACATTACGAAATGTTTATCTTTTTTTCTGTAGGCGGATGTGGTTACAACATTCTGACAGGAGCTGTCTGTTAATGACCCGCGGATTATCGCCTTTCAAGGAACTCTGGTGGTTCCGCTGTGTTATTTTCGTTTCTTTTTTTATGGAGTAGAACGAAACTAACTGCATTTCTCTCGTGTCCCTTTATTCTCTCTTACGCTTTGCTTCCATCATTTATTGATTAATTTTAAGAAAATATATAGATGTCAGTCATGCTCGTCAGCTGCCTTAGACCGTGGTTTCACACTGATTTCCTTCAATGCGAATATTTTTATAAAAAGTTACTTTTAGCAAGAATTGATTTTCGAATAGCTGATTCGATATCGTATTTGAATATGAGTCATTAGTATTTAAACGAACCGGGTAATAATGAAATTTAAGAAATCCTAAACAAAGGTGAAAATCATTTTTTGTGATTATAATAACCACAATACTCTCATTTCATTCTTCTTTTGAATCGGATTCAAGGTTTTAAACAAATTAAATTTTGGGTCACTTATCGAATGGTGCAACTTTTGAAGTATAGATAACTGTGTATAGCCAATAGAATAAGACATTCGATTAATTTAAAGTGATCAGTGATCCCGAAACACTCATATAGTTATTTATTTATTTATTTCAAATGACAGGCGTTTTGATAGTTATCATTAGCTCTTTAGCTGACTTCGGGCTTCACAGGGGGAAGGAACATCAGGGTAACAGAAAGTCGAGAGGTGTGGCACAGAAGAGTGATTCACAGATGTAAAAGAGACAGACAGACACAAAGGTAGAAAAGAGGTGAGATGAGTACTGGGAAAGTTGTTAAATATGGCATACACTGGGGTCATGGTAGTTTGAAGTCAGAAGTCAATTGCCAATTATTAGACTTTTTTGCCGTATGGGTATACGTTACCCAGGGTGCACCACGTGGAGGTAAGTCTAAATATACATTGCCCAGGGTGCACCACGGAGGTAAGTCTATTGCACACCCCATGATACCTATCATAACGCCTGCCATTTGAAAACGCACCCACTCATATAATTATTTTAAAGGTTATTTGGAATAGGAAAATCCCACAAAATCTAAATAAATAACTAATTTGAAGTAGCTTTAACATTTCACATTTTTGTGACATTTCTTAGTACAACCTCATTAAAAAGTAACTTATCAATAATTTTAGTCCTCAAAAAATTATAAAATGACAATAGAAAATGTTATTTAATGCCTAAAATGTAATCTCGGGGCATGATCCTTGAGTTAAGAGGATTTATGATCGGTTGAACCTTCAATTCAACTGAAGATACGATCAAATGAGCAATTATTGGTTTAAAAGGCCATTATTGTTGCTTCATTCAAGTACCGCTTAGTTGAGATGCAATTCTAGTCGTAATTCACTTTTAAGATCAAATTTTTTTGTAATTTTCATTTACCTAATGACTTTCAAAAGACTGAAAACATATATATATATATATATATATTGTGCAAATAAACTTATGTGAAAACACTGAGGGGGGTATTTCGAGATAAAACTATCAAAAAGTATATAAATAAAATCCTTAAACGAATTAGAACGTTCTCCTCTAATATCAAAAGTAAATAAATGAAGTTGAGATTGCAAAAGTAGTTTTATCTAAGACAGAAATATTTATTAAATTGCTGATTGATCCACTAATTGCTGTTGGAGCAATGAAATTTTAGCATCCTGTAGATTTCGCTTAAAAGTTTGAATTGATTGGGTGAGTCGGTAAAAACTTTTGACCGAAGTATTTTAGCAGCAAAAACATTTACGCAACTGGCAATGAAATGGCTAAAGATAAAACAAAGATTTCCGAGAGCTTGAAATAATTTTGATTGATTGAGATCCCTAAATTCAAAGCTTCTTGTGAATGGACATGAATGTTGCTTATCGTTCGACTCACCGAATATTTGCGGTGTAAAATGAATGGAGTCCAACTTTACTGGAACCCCTCAGAAAAAAATGGAAAAAGCCACAAAATATTGACCTAAAGAAAGAATTTTTCTATGCAAACAATTATACAAACAGATGGTATTTGCTTAATTGTGAAACGTTGTGAATCGTGGCTATGATTGGGTTAATTCATGATGCACAAGCAACATTATTAATTTATAGATCGCATTCTATCTTTCATTAATAATTAGCCTTACACAATATATGTAATGTATAATTCATGGTGAACAAAAATTCCAGACTTTGAGTTGTATAACAATGGTCCAAATGCATTATTAATAAGGAATCCTCATATCGACAAGCTCTCGTGAGCGAGTATTCAAGCTAGGCCTTAAATCAACTTCGTATTGTCTAAAAGGTAGGCAATTTGTAGGCGAAAATATGTTTTTCAATATTTCCTTGTTAGGATTCTTACCTCTGAGCAGTTATATTGACTCTTGCCTTGTTGAAATTTGAAGAAAGCATCGCAAATAACCCCTCCCCTCTCCCTCCTCCCACTTTCTCCTAATTTTATCACATCACAGACTCGCGTTCCTAAACTTTACAGTGGATCAAACTATGAACGAAAGCAAGGGATTGACCTACTAATGAAAGTCAAAGTTGATTATAATCTTTCCCTTTCCATCTCCTTCCACAATTCCACTGAAGATTCGAGCAGGATTAACCGACTTGTTCATGAAGCAACGCTGTTCACAAGGTTATATCTAGTGAGTGGAATCGGAAAACGCACTAGTTAAGCTCAGCATATACATGTACTGATTCCAAATTTCTTACATGGGAAACAATGTAATGATACCTCTTTATTCTAAATTGACGACTGAAAATTTTTTTCTAATTAGGATAATAATTATGGTGATTTTGTTATTCCTATGCCCTAATAATAAATGCATAGTACTGCTTTTCTTAATTTTAAAACAGCTGTTTGCAGAAAACTAATTGTTGGAAATGTATTTCCGTAAGAAAAAGGAAAATGTTTTTATTCATTTCGTATTACAAGATACCAGCACTTTAAAGCAACGAATAAATGGCAAGGAAGATTCGAGAAATTTAGGAGCCCTAATTTACACAAAACGATTTTCAGTGCTCTTTAACAAGCCTTGCGTGATAATGGTGGCAGTTTTTTTTAACTTAAGTTGGCTAGAGGGCAATGACAAAGAATTTTAATTTAAAATGTTTCAAATTTAAACGCAGTTAGTGGATGATATGATTTCATTGTAAGCAAAATTTCAAAGTTACTTGAATTGATATAGGCTGGAGTAGGTATTGAAATACTGGATAAAAACACGCTTAACAATGGCTTAAGGGGATATTTTGGTCTAGAGACATGAATTCTAGGTCATTTTTGAAGTGCTGTAAAAAGCAAGCAATATTTTATTATCAATTTTATTATACATTATTTATTCATCTGAGAAGCATACAAAAAAATAAAAAATAGAAAAATTTAAAATTCCGTTAGTTATCAGCTGATGGAGTGGTGCGTCCCAAAAATATGGTGCATGACCATACCCACGATTTTAACTCTCCAAGCAATCTGAAATAAAAAAGGATTATCAATCTACAATTATGTCGCTATGTCCGGAACTACGGAAAAGTTTTAGAAATTTTTTTACAAAATGGGGACTGTCTAAAGAAAAAAACATTTTTGTACCACTTTTTTGAACATTCTTCGATTTTTAA